ACCTATTAAAATATTCTTATTTTTTTTATTTCTATTTATTGCGTTTTTAATTCATTTTATAATTTTAATGGAGCAATTATGTGTCAATAAATGTTCAACTTCTTGATTTTTAATGTTACTTAATTAATACTAAAGTTCTTTAAAAGCTAGCTCATTGGAAGTGATCAAATAATATAATATGGCCAACGTAATAACTTTTTGTTTCCCCCACCCTATTAAGTTTACTAATTGCCCTCCTTTATTATTCCACTATTGTGTTCGGAATAATTTAGAAATTATGTTTTTGTCATTTAATAATAATTTGATTATTCATCAAATAATATTTAATTACCCATAAAAAATAAATATACAAAATTCTTAATCAAAATTTATTTTATTCAACGGAATACTGACTAATCTGTATACTATTTTTTTATATCTCCTGAAAAAAAAAAATTTGAAAAATTCCTAATAAGCGTTTCAAGTATATTTCATACAGTTTATAAATAAATTATAAAAACTAAATATGAACAATAAACATTTTTTTTTTAATTAAAATTTATTTTTGGCAAATTTTGGAGCAAATGATAAACTTTTTCTTTTTTATAATTTGAAATATTATTTATAGGTCATACATGACGACCATCTGTCGAAAATTCAACATCTACCTTGTAATTATGAATTGTTTTTCAAAGCCATTTATCCTCATTACTAGTTATACTTAAGATACGTTATTCTATGTTTCTAAAATGTCACCTTGCTTTTCATTAGAAAAAATAATTATTTAATGAAGTTAAAAAGACAATAACTCAAAACGTGATGATAAACATCAATCTTTTTGTCAATAAATTCTTGAAGATTCATAAAAAAAATTATCCTGTTTAGAAGCATCCTGTTACACAAGTTTTTGTCTCTAACCTTTTAGAATTAAACGCCTCGACATCCTTTAAGTTGTTTTGCTGTTTTTAATTAATTTTTTTTATAAAAAAAAAAGGAACTTTAGAGGTACGAAACTAAATAAAATCAAAATTTGACTGGAAATGTTTGATACTCGAATAAGTTATAATAAAAATAGAATTTCATTCATATCTTTCAACAGTACAAGTACAAGTTTAACTCTAGTAATTTCTTTTTTACGACATAAACTTAATATTTCTAAAGTAGTTTGATCATATTTGAAGTTATTGATGTTTATCCGTGGTAGATAAAAAATATTTTATCAATAATATTTTCTAACTTCCGCTGTTTGATGAGGAAAGTCAACATAGGTTAACAAATATTCTTCAAAATGATTTTCTTCACACACAAAAAAAATCATATTTAAATAGTTTAAAATTTACATTTATAAGAAGTTTTAACTTTTTTCTAATAGAATGTTATACTAGATTTTTAAAATATTTAATTGAAAATAGCCAATAAATCTAACTAGCCACTTAAAATTCGTAATATCTAAAAATTATAATATTATCAATTTTATAATTAGTCACAGAATATTCAGTAAAATAGGGAATTTTTTTTAAATTCTACAATTTAAATTTACTGCTAGAACTTAAATGGCGCAAGTAAGGTTTTGCTATTGTTTAAAAATGAAACAATGTAAAACCCAATACTCGTGAAGTTACAAGAAACGTGTGACCTGTAAAGTTGTAATGTATGACTTTTAAAATGTTTACACTTCCAACAAAAAATACAACATTATTTTTACAAATGAAATAAACCTCATTTTAGCGAATATATATTTATGTTCGTTAAAATGGATCAAAAGCGCATGCTCTCTTGATCTGTTTTAACGAAGTCAGTCGGTAGTGTATAACTTGGTAGCTGTTACAATATTTACACAAATAATAAAAACAGTCGTACTCTGTATAATTTGTTTGCACCGTCGTAAAAAATGCCATTATTTATGGCCTCTAGTTTCGTTTTTATTTAGTATTTTGTTTCTTTTTTTTTTGGTTAATGTTAATCATCGTCGTCACACTGGCGAAATGTTCATTATAGTCTAAGCGATTAACTACACTGTAATTCGGTGTAATATATTTCGTCATCTTGTTTATTATGTTTTGCCATTGCTCGCTGGTTGCCTACCAAGCTACGGTGTATACATTTTTTGGTGTCCGCATTTTTGTTGATTTCATTTTCGACCACAGCCGTCTTTGCAGCCCATAATTCGTAACGGAATTAAGTAGACCGGATCTGTGTACTACCAACACGGCACGGTAATCCGAACAAAAAAGAAGAACCGTGTAATTAAAGGCCGGCCATTTGGCTACACGTTAACGACCTCTAATTTTATGTTCTCATTGTGACCGGGGCTTACTAACTGGGTTGAATTGTATTTTATGATAGCCCGGCTGCGGTGCTGTAATTAAAATTGTCTTTTGTGAGCGTATACCCTCTCCAATTTTACAATGAGAATGTATTTGTATGAATTCCGCCAATTCTGTAGACTCTCTTTTATGCATTGCGGGGAATACATGGTTTTAGCGAAAGTCCGTCTCCGCCGCGCCGGTCGTTTGCTACTTAGGGCCGATGCTTTCCCTGTGGTAATCACGTACAACGGTCTTGCGATAAGTGACCGAACACGAGATTATGCATGCCCATAAATCGTTAAACACGCCGGTCGTAGTCACCGTGTTTGGTATATTCTCCTGTATTAAATGTATCTGAAAATAATTAGTGTGTTGCCGTAATGGGCAATAATAACAGGAGACGGTAACTACCAATGAATCGGATAAGGTACGAACATAATACGACGCGATAACGACCCAAAAACGTATTTAATGTCCAACTTAAAATCCCGTGCGCATAATAATACGGTACAAATAGTGTATGGACAAAAAACACATAGTGCTATGTTTAAGAAACAGTATAATATATATTTTATGGTTGTAAATTATTGTTGAAAATCAGGTGATTGTTTGACAGCGAAACACTCTAAAAATGCTAATTTCACCCCTCAGTCGTTAAACATGCCAATTGTCTTTAATCGTGCTTTACTACGCTATGATATTATTTATTGCTGGAAATTAATAGTTACTTGCCGATACAACTGAATAGTTAGCCAACATCATTGGGTCATAAATTTCTTGTTACAGTAAGTAGTAGATATTGTTAAAATAATTTTAAAAAAACTACAAATTGACAATTAAAAACTTCAACATACAATTTTTTTTATACTCTGATTGGTTTTTTTTTCATCTCTAGTCTTTAGACTTGTAAATTTAGTGATAAAAATAAGGAACATGAAATTTTTTTTGACAATTTACCGTAAAGATAATGGATGAAAAATTTATATAAACCAAATTATGAGAAGTCATTCAATAATCTTTTCTAAATTCGTTTCAATTTTTTAGAAAAAATATTACCATATATTATGTAAAGACTAGCTATGGATACGTGATAAAACCATTCAAGTGGCTGTTAGCACAAACAACCATGTACTCGACGTGAACTACATCATATTTTATAAAGATAAAGTCTGTAACAGACATATAGGGGATAAGAATTTTTAACGTGCTTTCTAGGAAAAGTGTCCATTATCGATGAACTAAAAATGGTTGTGCACAAAGTACGCAAAAATATACAAGATATAAAAACAATAACAAAAAAAAAAGATGCAGTGAGTGTAAAGTGGGCTGCGCTTAGCATTTTAGAAATTTTAGTATGTGTTTGCAATTTTTTGAAGAACATAGTAACTATGTTAACTGTTAACCGGATTAAAATTACTCAAAATTAATGAAATAATTTGATTCCAACTGAAAATTATACTATAATTAAATGAAATATCTATATCATACAGTTTATGGTGTATTAACTTTGTTCTGTTGTTTATTACGGAAGTATTTTATATAGTGTACGCTTATATATATTTTTTATAAATACTGACAGCCTGAAAAAATAAATGTAACTTACAAGTTATATTCATAATCTGTCATATATATATAAAGCATTCGTTCGTTGAACTTTGAGTGAATATATTCGATACCATTAAGTTGAAATAGTGTAGAGTAATAGCATAAATAATAGAAAATTATTCACTTAAGAATGCAATACAAGTCGTAAGTGTGGAATTGAAATATATACTGTACTTCGTCCTTAATTTCATGAATGCATTTCTTTTCATATAATTTTTCCACTCATACAGTAAAACAATCTAGAATACTAGAGACGCTTATAATATAACTTTTATGTATAGTGAATTATATTGTTGAGTAAACCATAAACAAAAGAACCACTAACGACCGGATTCGAGTGATACTCTACTGAGGGAGTTGATGAGTCTTATTGAAAACCGCTTTTCAGTTACATTTTAACTCTTCGTTCTTGTGGTATTTAAACTTGAATACTTTATTTTCTTTCTCTAGCGCTGAAACTCTTTTATTTTTATTCCCTCGAACCATGTCGCCGCATTTCCGGATAACGTTCTCTCCGCAGTTTACATGCGAAATACCGTGAAAAGCTTTAATGCATATTTATCGTTAAGTGCTACGCCGCTGTTTCGTTGATATTAAATTTGAATCGAACGACTGCTGGGCCATTAAATTTTTCTTCTCTCTCATTTTCTTTTTCATGATTCCTGTGGCATATGAAAACCTCTAACTAACCGTGAAATATCTCCACCTACTGTTGCTACTGATGAAATCGCACGCACGCTCTTTATTCTTTTGTCTGGATCATATAATAAGTTTCTATATACACATTTGTTTGTTTACCCGTCGTATGAATCCTATATACACATTATTATATCACATATGATTAATAGAGAACGGTGTTCGGTTTAAGCTTCGGATGTTAGAGGCAAACATAGTACGCTTCGGCTTTTCCGTAGCAATTTGTCAACTTGACAGCAGCCGCCGACACTCCAGTTCATTTCTCCTAGAAGCTGAAAGGTGGTTTAGACCAGTAATGGTAGCTACATGCCATTTGCCAAACGTAATAATAACACGACTTATGATGTATACCTTGTGCAACAGAAACCCTATATAATAATAATATAATATCTACTCATTGATATGTTTCAGGGGAAACCTGCTGAGGGATAAAGGCAACTTCGACGCGGCCGTGTCCAGCTACAAAAACGCTATCAAATACAGACCTTCGTTGGCAGGTATGTGAAATATACGTTAGAACATTTTATTATTTCTTCAATAATGTGAATATAAACACAACAAGTTTTACGACTTTTTCCATTTTGTTTCATGTCCTTAATTATGTATGTTCATGACATTAATTTGCCGAAGAAAAAGCACATACAACCTTTCCGCGTTCTTTTTCTACTTAAGTAATTGCTTTTCAACTGAACACATTATATTAAAGAGTAATTATACTTGAAAACTAAGTAGCTTAAGAAAACTAAAAAAAATATGTAATTGAATTTCTTTCTTGAGAATAAAAAATAAAAATTTCAATTAAGTAAAATTATTTTTCCTGAATTTTTTTCATAAAAGTTATAACATAAAAAACAATGATAACGATGTGCTAACTTGAGAATAATTTACAAGAGTAATTGAAGTAGTACATAAAATATGTTTGCTGCACGTACGAGCTACACTTGCTTAATAGGTTACATTAAACTACATGATTAGGTTGTTGCAACACAGATACTGAACGCATAGGAGTTATAACTTGGTAGTGTAAAATTACACCCTCAGGTCTCAGCCGAAAATGTCTTGAATAATTTATCGCGTTCAAAATAAACTTCTTCTTTAGTAATCAACTCTAAGGGTTGGTGTTACATAATTTTTTATACTTCTTCTATTCTTCTAGGACATCCTCTGTCTCTTTCACCTTCTTTTTATCCTCACAATATTCTGTGATTAGTCTTTGTGTCTTAAAGTATGTCATTTAATTGCTACTTTCTTTCTTAATTGATATTAATAATCCTTTATGTTCACTTATTTTAATACATTATCATTGGTACAAATCTTAGCTGGATAGCTAACTCTTTCTCAGTAACCTGTACCACATTTCGAAACTTTCTAAATATATTTAATTTGCTTTGTTTATTATCCAAGAATCTGATCCGTATAGTACATTATCTAACAGTTTCCTCATATGAATCTCATCTTCTTGGAGAATAATACTTTCTGGCATTAAATAAATGCAGTTTTTGCCTCCTTTAATTTCCTTAGTAGTCTTGCTATTGTGAGTAATTAAACCACCTAGTAATCTGTTTACTTGATCTAAATGGTAATTTTTCACTTGAGTTTGGAGTCTGTGTCTTAGAACTTCATAGTCACAAAATTTTCTTATCCGGTACCAAACAAATTATATACAAATAACAATAACCTAATTATCAATTTTAAAAATTTGTGACTAGCTATAAACAAATAATGGCTTCTATTTTGATCGTAATACTAATGCTTGAATAAAAAAGTAATAAAATGAGTCACAATTTCAAAATTCATGTCGTTGTATTAGTAAATATCATATTTCTTATTGGTCTCCCACATTCTTTTCTAAATACTCTATTTAATTCAAATTAGTAGATATTACAGGTAATTAATCGAAAAATAAAAATAATATTAATAACTTTTTTATTGGTTTCTTAAAGTTGAATGTTTTTCTCAAATTATCAATTTTAAAATTTGAGTTGTATTCATCCCATACACCTTATAAGGGTGTCAACTTTATTTTTTCAAAGGCAACATACATTTTTAACTAGCCTATAAAGTAGGAAATAATCTAATTAAGAAAATGAATGGTCGATAATAAGTTTTGGACCAGTACTTAGGATGTTATTCTCGTTTTTATACTTAAGTAGAACGAAAAGTATGGCCTAGGCAAATGACTAGTGATAAAATTACCAGAAACCACTCGTTACCTACAGTCATTACATTAAATCGTTTATAACATCTGAAATACTAGTCCAAAAGTTGTTATTGACCAGTCATTTTCTTAATTACATTATTTCCTATTTTATAAGCTAGTAAAATATCTATGTAACCATTAAAAAATAAATCTACATACCTTTAATTTATGAGGAATAGTTCTAAAAAGTTGTTATTAGCTGATAAATCAAGAGATATGTAACTAAAAGAAATCAAAAAATAATTTTTTTTAAATTGTCTTTATTTAACGAGTAAACAAGTGGTTTATGATTAATCTATCACTCTCTATATGTATATAATTATTTATTTCTACATAAATATTTTTAGATGTTTACTCTTAGTTTGTTTCACTATATTTACAAAAAAATAATAATAATAATTACAAGAAATAGAGGTATATATTACAATTAAATTATATGTTTTAAATACTTAGTCTTTTAAGATTTTGTCATTATAAACTTAATTCAAGCAATATTCAACTAAGAAACTATGATGAAATTTTAATTTCTGTAAAGATTTCATCAAGATATACACAAATGGATTTTTGTTTTTAGTCATATCTAAAACTGTACTTAGATTTCACACGTGTGCATAATCTCATTTTAAAATCCTTTAACTCCATCAATCACGACCTGGGAACAAATTCACCCGAATAGTTTGACACATTCTTTTATAAGCTTTATTCTCTACTTGGTTCTTATCTGCATAATGCAAAAACTTGATATATTATTTCAATACCCCGTAAACTGTAAATAATTTGTATGGAAATTTATTTTTGATGGTGTTCTGGTAAGGGGTGTAATTATATTTGCATCGATCAGATTGCACGTTGTAAATAAGGTTAACAGAATTTATATTTTCATAAAATCCAGAAATCAGAAATCAGTGGTTAAAAAATATTAAGCCAAAATACATCATGGAATGTTGGAAGTACTGAGAGGCATACTGTTTTTTGTAAGAATAGCTCATATTGACATGTATAAATAGTTCAAAGACGTTTTATGTTTATTTTGTAAACGGTGTAACTGAACCAAAATAAGTTTAATTAGAAAACTATTTATTCCAGTAAATGGTTTGAAACCTTAACCATGTTGGAACAACCTCACAAACAAATATCTAAAAGTAACAAAACTGTGTGAATTACTTAACTAATTTAACTTAGAATAATTGTAGACTTGATAAGAGAATTTTTGAAATGATAAAACTAATTACTTTTTATGATACATTTATTAGTTGCTTAATTTACTACGCATATATTAATTTGAAAAACTTATATCATCTTTGAATATTTCATTTCTGAATATATTTATTATATATTAATATATTTTTTCGCAAGCATTATTTAAAACATGGAAAGACTTTTTTATGATAACCCACTCGATTGGACTTGAGTGGTTTATAATAAAAAAATCACTTTGTTGTAAAGTATAAATTTTATTTTATTGTCGTTAGCTTTAATTAAAAAAATTAAAGTATTGATTTAACAATTAATCAATGTCTAATGATCAGTGATGTAGATCGACACACTTAAACAAAAGTGTATTATCATTAGTAATTTATTCAATTGATAAAATATTGACAATCAATTGAAATCTGATAGATTACTATCAATGTTAAATAAATATTTGAACTAATATAAATATTAACTATTATTATGACTACATTGAGTTACGACAAAACTATTATTATTTTTAATTTTTTTTTCTTTTTTTAACTTCAAATACTAAACATCAAAATCAAGCAATACAGTAATACTTCAGAAGTTTCGAAAAATATTTTTGTTGGAATAACTCTACAAGCTTCTATTAAATATACAGAGTGATTCTTTTAACGCTAACCAAAAATTTAAATTGGAGTTATAAAAATCATATGGTTACTATAACTTCCACATAAATTTTTGGCTAGCGTTAAAAGAATCACCCTGTATTTATAGATGAATACTTTAGTTTTCTCGGTGTAATTTAAACTCAGATTGAAATATAATTTATAATAAATATATAATTAAAAAAAAAAACTAGTGCTGTTTTCAATAGAATAAAATTTGATTGATGATGAAATTTTACAATTTAATTATTAACATTTGAGTACTGTTTTTTAAATTCATTCCATTTTTAATCAAATATCAAATAAATAGTGTTGGTGGTAGTATAATATATTTAATAATGCCCAATATAAACTGAATGAAGATGCTATATTGTTGACATCGTTTCCACTAAAACTTTTATCATTCAAGCGTACCACAGCTATTGCATAACTTCGGATACCTATATCTCCGGAGATAAGAGCTCTTCGGGCTTCGGGCACTCCAAAATTGTAACTAAAATCTCGAAGTTGATTAATAGAAACAGTCCCATACGATCGCAGCACAATCCACTCTACGGTTTGACTGCACGGTGGTGATGTCAATGAGCCCTCGTACCAGAACCACTGCGAAGTAGCTGGAAGAAGATTATTAAAATCAACAGTACTATTAATAAATTGTACACGATTTTTGACAGCGTCGACAAAAGGTTTCAACGACAGATTGTCTCGATCAGCCGACAAGTACATGGCTGACACTGCCAAATGCTCATTATCGATAACATTGCCAAATCGACGGTGATAAAACTGTAACTCCAAATCAGCTTGTTCGTCGTCTAGTTGATGTTCAGCCGGCCAGCGGACCAAGATACGCTCCAACGTGTACCCAACACTGTTCATGTTTCCATCTGACAACCACGCATTCGGCTTTTTGATATTTTCCATTACGCGAAACTCGAGTTCTGAACTTTCAGTCGCTGAAACAGACAGTTTCAGGTTTGGATGATATGCGAATACCAATGGGTTTGGAACGATGGCCTCGTTAGCATATCTAGATTCCATGTGCATTGGTGACTGTCTATTGCCTAATTTGCATGTATTCGGCCATTGGTCTTGTTTACTAAAAGACCATTTTAATGAATTTTTCTGCGCAAATGAATCAAAATGAACTAATATTACAAAACATATGACCGTACTAAACAATAACATTCCTGTCGAATTACTAAAAATATTTAACATATTTATCGTTGTCATGAAACCTTTTGTTAATTTATTATTTTTAATACATTTCAATGGAGCATACTTAATAATTATCAATATCAATTTATTATAATTATTGAAAATAATGAAACAAATATTACTGTACAAATAAAAATATTTGGATAATGATTCAAAGAAGGAATAATATTAAGTAAATAAATTTTATTTAGTGTTATTATACAATTTTTTTCTACTGTTATTTTCAAAAGTTATACTT